GCATGACGCCGACGCCCCTCGACGTCATGCGGCGCCGAGCCTCACTGACAGACACTGCTCAGCTCACGACAGGCACCACACCGCACATGCATGAAGCACCCACCCATAGCCAGCCACCCCATGGCCACATACATATCAAAATTGAAGGCGATGCATGAAGACTCACTCGCCACACGTGCACATCCATCCCTCCATCCATCCCTTTGTTGATTGAATTGTCAGGCATCCACACAGCACGACAGACAAGGTGAGTGAGGGGCATGGCATGCAATGCACCATACATACCATAGACAGACAGACACACTCACAAAAAATCCAAAACATCGACACGCGGCACAATACACACGTCATCACCATGAAAGGAAGGAACGCAACACACACACACACATACAGAGACACACACGGACAGGCAGACAGACAGACCGGCACACAGCCAGCCACTCGTTTACGAGTGGATGGACAGATCATCGCCAGGTGGCCCGCTGGTCCTCGTTGAAGTGCGCCACCTGCTCATACCTGACACACACACACACACACACACACACAGCTCTGCTGGCTGTCGGGCGCGGCTCAGCCGATGACTGACTGACCATCTTATCATGTTAGGCGTCTTGGGCGGCACGTTGGATGCGACGACCTGCTGGTACAGATCCGCATCACGCCTGCTCGGCCTGAAACCCCCGATGAACGGTTGCTGCTCCAACACCGCTTCTGCACCAACACGCACACAATAGTACCCAGCCGCCGGTCGATCAGTGGCCATCCATTCATTCGCTAACTCACCGAGGTCGCCGTCATCGGATATCTCCACCGTGAGCGAACCAGACCGCCGCAACTGAACCAAACGCACCACAGGCGCGGATACATCAAGTGTCAAGTGTCCTGCGGCTGGCTGTGTAGCGCACCTTATCGCCGAGTGACTGGTGGGCCTTCTTGCTGCCAGGGTTGTTGGTGGGCGACTCTCGGGGGCCGGGGTTGTCAGCGTGCATCAGGGTGGTGCCATTGATGGTGCCATTGACCACCTGGTTTTGCTGGTGTTCCTGCTTGTGGGAGCCTGGTGGCTGGTAGGCCTTGAAGCTGTTCAAGTTCTTGGAGCAGGGCGTGCCGAGGGAGGCGAAGAGCTCCAGTAGCTGGGGCATGGCCATCTCGACCTGACAGAGAGGGAAGGAAACGGTGAGAGGCTTGGTTGAAGGCTGTGCGTCAGCTCACCTGGTCCTTCGGGCCGTCCTCTCTCCGCCGCACGGTGATGGTGCCGCTCTGGCTCTCCTTCTCGCCTGTATGCCACACACACATGCACATGGATGGTTGCTATGTGCCTCCCTGGGGGTCTGGGAGCTGCAGTGCAGTGTGTCATTGATCACTGCCTGCGCACCAACAACGAGAATGTAGTTCCACTGGGCGTGCTGCGCGTTCAAGATCTTCTTGTTGACAGTGGCACTCGAAGTGTCCGCTTCGACGTAGTAACCTGCACACACACACACACAGAGGGAAGGGAAGAAGTGTTGTGTCGCATCAGGGCATGGCCGGCTCCCATGTGTGTGCATCTGATATGTGCAGGGGGGGAGTGACCGAATAATAACCGACTATATCTCTCTCTCGGCTGGGTGAAATTGCACACAGCGAACAGCGAACTCCGCTCTCGCGTATGCCTTGGATCCGGCCTCTCTCTCTCTCTCCCTCTCTCCCTCCCTCCCTCTCTGTCTACACACATCCATCCGTCTCATCTCACCGTGGTCTTGGAGTGTCTGCCTGACCCACAGGGCGTAGTGGTGGCTCTTCTCCGATATCGGACACACAATGGCCTGTCTAGGGCTCAGCCAGAAGGGGAACCGGCCTTCCGTGTGCTCAACCAGGATGGCCGCCATGCGCTCAACAGAGCCTGACAGGGGAAAAGGTCCACACAACACACCGGGTGTGTTGTGTGTGGGTGGATGGTGTGTGTGTCCCAATGGCCTACCGAGGATGGCTCGGTGGATGATGACGGGTCTCTTGTGTCCGGGCTTGAGCACGCCCTCCTGGAACTCCTCGCCGCCCTTGCTGCTGCCGGCCGCCGGCTGAGCCGAAGCGGCATCACCAGCGGCGCCATTCGCCGTGGGTGCGTCGGGTGCGGACTGACCTCCTTTGCCACCACCACCACCGCCACCAGCTGCCCCGGTGGTGACCTCCTCGGTCTTGTACTGGAGGTTGAACCGGATGGGCAGCTGGAAGTCCAGCTGGATCGTGCCGCACTGGTGGGTGCGCTTCAGAGCGTCGGACAGCTTGATGTCGATCTTGGGACCATAAAAGGCACCGTCGGCGGGGTTCAACTCCCTGAGAGAGAATGGACGTATGCCGCACACATATAGGGTCTGTGTGGGGGTGGGGAGCTGTGGCTGTGTACCATGGGAGCCCGGTGCTCTCGAGTGCCTCTGCCAGGTCCTTCTCGGCCTCGTCCCACATGTCCACCGCACCTACCACCCAGACACGCACAGAGAGACCATGCAGTGGCAGTCTCAGTCTGGTGGCACGTTGTCCTACCGAGCGCCTTCTTGGGTCTGGTGGAGAGCTTGAGCTCGAACTCGAAGCCGAAGCTCTTGTAGACGAAGAACAGAAAGTCCAGCGCCGCCATCACCTCGTCCTACCAAACACACACACACACACACACAACCGTCTCTCTCTCTCTCTGTCTGTGTGTGTGTGAGTGTGTCCGTACTGTGATTTGGTCTGGTCTGCAGAAGATATGTGCGTCGTCCTGCTGGAAGCGGCGGACCCGCGTGAGGCCCGTCAGGGAACCGCTCACCTCGTTGCGATGCAACACACCGAAATCAGCCAACCTGACGCAGACAGAAACGACACACAACACAACACATCAATGAATGGGTGGTGGCGTGTGATTGATGTGACTGACGGGTGTGATGGTGTGTGTTGTTGAGGCAGCAGCGTTTGTTTACCTGACTGGCAGCTGTTTGTATGACGGGGCCATCTTCTGGAACATGATGCAGTGGCCTGCCGCACGCACCATCCGCCACCAAGCACACACACACACACACATCTCTCCATCCCTCCACCCATGGGTCTCTCTGTGTGGGTGCATTCGTTCGGACCGGGGCAGTTCATGGGTTTGAGCCCCCACTCCTGCTTCTCGACGTCGAACGTGTACATATTCTCTTTGTAGTTCTGGTAGTGCCCGCTGGTCTTCCACAGGTCGCAGCTGTAGATGTTGGGGGAGATGACCTCGTGGAAACCTCGCAGCCGGTACTCGCTCTGAGCACACACACACACACACACGGAGAGAGAGACAGAGAGAGAGGGAGGGAGGAGAGAATGTGAGTGTGTGGCCCGGTGGGTGTGGGTGTCTGTGCGTCTGCGGACCTTCATGAAGTCTATGAGTTTGTTGTAGATCCGCGTGCCCATGGGCAGCCAGAAACACGAGCCTGCAAACCCACAAACCCACACACACACAAGAAGGCCAAGGCCACCACCCCCGATCGCCCCATCCTCTGTCTGTCTGGCTGTCTGTCTGTCTGTCTCTGTGGGTACCAGGTGAGACGTTTGAGTCGAAGAAGTAGAGGTCCTGCTTGGCCCCGACCTTGCGGTGATCAAGCTCCTCGGCCTTCGCTATCAGCCTGCACCCACACATACAAACACACAGGGTCGGCGCATGTAGGCCATCCATCCATCCATCCATGTGTGTGTGTGTGTAGCGACGCTCACCTTTTGTGTTCGGTGAGCTGTTTCTTGTCGGGGAACGAAATCGCGTACACGCGCTGCAGCGAATCTGCAGATGGACACACACACACACACACACACAGAGAGAGATGAGTGCATGGCATCCATCTGTGTGTTGATGTGGGTGTGAGTGTGACCACCGCACCGTTGTCGCTTTTGCCCAGCCAGTAGGCGGAGGAGTTCTTGAAGGCCTCGAACGCCTTGACCTTGCCAGTCGACGGCAGATGGGGGCCCTTACACAGGTCGATCAGTGGACCACACCTGGCATCATAACACACACCAATCCACGTGACTTCAGATAAGGGCACCCCTGTGTGTGTGTGTGGGTGGGAGGGAGAATGTGTGTGAGCCTGTGCGTACCTATAGCAGGTGGTCTTGCCGCCGTCGGGGATTTTGTTGCTGATCAGCGCCACCTTGAACGGGTTGTGCTAACGACACACAACACACAACACACAAACACACACAGCGACACACACACACACAAACATGGTATGTCACACACACACACACACACATGGACATACCATGTTTGTGTGTGTGTGCTGCTCACCTTGAACATCTCGAGAGCCTGCTCCTTGGCGATGACGAGGCGGTGGAACTTCTGGTCCTCCTTGGCTATCCGCTCAGCATGCTTGTTGAGCACCGGGAAGGCCTCCTGGGTCAGTGGCTGCACACACACACACAACACACACAAATCAGACATATCAGACAAAGCATCCTCTCTCTGTGTCGTGTTGGTGGTGTGTTGCCTGGGCTGGCTGCCAGCTGACTGACCGTGTCGCCCATGTAGCAGTCGTAGTAGAAGCCGGATGTGAGCGCCGGGCCGACCGTGAGATGAGATCCGTACTCTGCCTCCAGACACTGACCTGCACACGACAGACAATAACATAACACCACACACCACAACATCTGTGTGCTCTGCGGCTGTGGGGGTGCCGTGTGTGTGTACCTACCGAGGATATGCGCTGATGAGTGCCAGAAGCAGTGCTGGCCCTCAGGGTCGTCGAACTTGAGCAGCTTCATCCGGCAGCTGCCCTCCAGGGGCCGATGCAGGTCCCATAGCTCCCCCTTGTCCGTCTCTAACTTCGACGCATACTCCTGGCAGATCTTTGACTCCGCTGAACACACACAGACATCCAGGCACAGACAGGCAGGCAATGAGAGAAGGAAAGAAATGCGGTTGGTCCTCCGTCTCTCTCTCTCCCCCTTACCGATCTCCTCCGCCTCGTCCTCTTCGTCATCGTCGGCGGCCACCAGGCCCTCCTCACCCGACATGGTCTCGGTGTAGAACACCTACAGACACACACACACACACACAGAGAGAGAGAGAGAGAGGGAGAGAGATGTAAGGCACCCCTCCGTGTGTGCGAATGGACTGTGATGGTTCCCTCACCTTGGCGACGATGACAGCGTTGGCGAGTCCTTTCGAGATCTCTGCGGCGATGGTGTGGGGGGTCGTCTCGAATGCCGTGCCCGTCTTGACCGTCCCGTCGGGCAGCTCGATATTGATGGGACGCCCAGCTTTCGCTGACACACACACACACACATGAAAATGGTGAGATGACGAGGCAGATGTGTGTTGACGGCAGCGTGGGGTACCCCTTCTGGCATCTTCCTGGTCCTTGAAGCACTGCTCAAACAGGGCGATGCGATGCGGAACGTACTCCGGCTGCTTGGTGGGCGTGAAGGGTCCTCCCAGCCGGTTGCTGCCCTCGCCGCCGAGAGCGTGGGCGGTGCCTGCCTCAGCACGCCGCGCCATGGTCGTTGTCGACGAGAAGCGGTGGTGGGGTGGCGGTAGCGGTCGAAGCGGGGGAGGGAGCGGGTCTCTGGCTGCTGGCTTGTCTACAAGGCGTCGAAGGGTGGCGCCTAGGCTACACAAGCGCATACACTGCGCTCATCTGTTCACCGGGCCGTTCTGTCGCAAGCTTGCATTGACTTAAAGGCGTGAAAACGCTCTCTCAAAGCAGCAGATCTGGCAACGCACTACCGTCTGTGGGAAGCAGTACGCGAATGCATGACACTGTGACGGCGACCATCGATGGGCTGCGCTGCATCCAGTGCCATGGATGGCGGTCCCTGTCGCATGAAGGATCTCGCCGATAAGGTTCGCACGCCATACAGCACACACGCGCACAGCAAGGAAGCAGGCAAGCACCGCCATGATTGATTCTGTGCCGCAGCGGAGAAGGTGGTCGCAATAGGGGTCCAGCTGTTGGGTGTTGGGTGGCGCCGATTCTCAGACGGCAGCAAGTGACGAAATCTTCGTCGGTGAAAGCGCAGACCCGGGTGCGCAGAGCTTGGCTCGCTGGTCAAAGCAACCAAATGACGAGCGAAGAGGTCAGACCCCGCGCGATTGCCAAGTACGTGTGTGTACATCGAGGTCTGGAGATTAAGCCCCCTGCTGCGATCTGCTTCTATCCCGAAGAGACCCTGGAAGGCCTGTGCGGGCGTATTCTTCGGGGCTACAGCGTCACCCTGAAAGGCGTGGATGCGGCGCGTCTGGAGTTTTGGGGAGAAGGGGCAGAGCGGGACAGACAGGAGCGGATAGTCGACGTGTTCACGACAGAAGGCACGACCAAGGAGAACCCCATTCACGTGTTTGTCGCAGGTTAGACAGAGCTTGCAGCAGTCAGCTGACGTTGATGGACTGGCCAAGCCGTGTGTCCGTGTGTCTGTCTGTCAGGTGAGCACTCATGGCGCGACTGGGTGCGGTCGTTCTATGACATCGTTGACAGACGACCGAACGGGTGAGCAAGAGCGCAGACACACGCAGACAAGGCTGAGGACTGTGTGCGTGTGTGTGTGTGTGTGTGTGTCCTGTCTGTTGTGTCAGTTCTGAGAAGAGTGCTTGAATGCTTCAGATGTCCAGGCAGCCATGCCATGTTCAGACACCATGATCGACCAAGAGCCACAAACACGATTTGTTGGTGACAGACGAGCAGACGCAACATTGCGCAGGCAGGACTCACACGAAAGGGAATGTAGGGTAGGGTGCTTGCAAGCTCCCTGCACAGGGACTGTAGACTGACAGACAGTGCAGGTATTCCCTTCCTGTGTCTGTCTGCGTGTGCGCGCGATGACGTTCTTTTTATCTGACGTTCTTTTTATCTTTTTCGTCGTGTGTGGACGAGGCTGTGCATTGGTCTGTATGTATATGCATCTCTGTCTTACTTCCGTGAATGAATGCTCTTTGGCAACCAGCCCCGTACAAGCGCTCCACACCTGCACAGCTACGATAGATAGCCACAGGCCCTGGTGTGTCCTCTGGTTGATATCTTACTTGGCAGTGAGTGAAGTAGTAGGTTTCTGCACCACAGAGGCTCCCCAACTGGGCACAGGCCGTTTTGTCGCAAGCTTGCACTGAGAAATCGGCAGATGGTACGCCCAGGCAACGCACTACCGTCTGTGGGAAGCAGTACACACGTGAATGCATGACACTGTGACGGCGACCATCGATGGGCTGCGCTGCATCCAGTGCTATGGATGGCGGTCCCTGTCGCATGAAGGATCTCGCCGATAAGGTATGTACGCACATCATACAGCACACACGCGCACACAGCATGGAAGCAGGCAGGCATCGCCATGATTGATTCTGAACCAATCACCATCTGCCTTCAACACACTGCAGCACGGCGTGTATGTCTGTGTGTGTGTGTGTGTCTGTGTGTCTGTTTGGTTCAAGGCGATGCGGCAGCTCGGTGTTTCCCCTGAGTTGCTCGACGAGAGGTGGGCGGCTCACTGCTCTCACAGTGGATGGAGATCGATGAGTGAATGTGTGTTTGCAATGAGTGCGCTGCTTCCTTGATAAATCTGCAGATACGACAAGTGCTTCTGCCCCAAGTGCTACACGGAGCCTGCCAACCAATATTACGCGAGGCAGGCAATCCAGAGGGAGGGAGGGAGGAACCACTCAGCCACACACACACACACACACACGCTCTGTCTGTTTTTCTGCATGGATGTGTGTGTTTGTTTGTGTGTGGTTCGCCCGTCCCATCCCCATCCGTCGTCAGAGGCCCATCGTCGGTGTGCTACATGCCGCCGGTAGGCTGGTACCGGGTCGGCATCAAGCTGCAGCCCGATGAGAAGGAAATGTCAGGGGAATGGTACTCACTGACCACCGATACATCGGTGGATGGATGGATGGATCGTTCGGTTCTTTTGGCTGCTTTTGGTTGGTTGTGTGTAGGTTACCTGCCTACCACGGCACCCGGCGCAGGACGGTGCCGGTCATCGTGAAGGACCGGCTGCTCAAGATCCCCGACAACATCCAGATCCGCATTTTGCCGGGCCACATCCCCGGGCAGTTCTTCACCTTCTGCACCCCATCCCTCGACTACGCAAAAGCATACTCCGAGGCACTCATCGTGAGTGAGTGAGTGGACGGACGGACGGACAATTCCCATCCATCCCCCGAGTCAAGTCGGTACTCAATGTCTGCTGGTTCGTTTGCGTGTGCCTCCCTCCCTCCCTAGGTTGATCGTGGCCGGTGGTGTTACGTGGTGCTGCAGGTGCGCATCGACCCGGAGGCCTATATGGTCAACGATTCCGCTCAACAATTTCCGACTGTCGCCAGCAGAGGTGACATGAGATGAGATGAGATGAGAGAGCGGATACCTGCAGCCGCCTGGTCAGTCAGCCTGGTCACGCCGCTGTCTGTTGGTGTTTGCTCCCGGCCCTCCTCCTCAGCCAAGGACTCGGTGTACGCGAGAACCGTCCACAATCGGTCCAACTGGCCGCCCGACTGGACTGTCGGTCCACACAAACACAAACACACACACACACACACAAACACACAGACTGACAGACAGACAGACAGACAGCACTCCTCTCCTTGATTGATTGACTGATCCATCCATCCGTCCATCTATCCATCGATAGGTTTTGGAGTGGAAGTCGAAGCAGTGCGGCAAGAATGTGGTGTATGGTGTGCTCGTCCGACCAACAACGGACGCGGAGCCTCCTGCCCTTGCCGAACTGCTCCCCGTCGAGCAGCGCTTAGTGGCCCGGTGGGCCTGCCTGCCTACCTCCTACCCAAACAACTGCGTGTGCATGCTCTCTGTCCTTCCCTTTATCTCGTTTCAGGGCCGGTGGTGGTGACATCGCTTCAGCAACAGGAGAGGCGGCAGAGCTCGATGGGAATCTGGACCATGCCATAGAGCAGTATGTGTCGGCG